CAGACTGCCATTCCAAGTAGACCTATTGGCCGATTCGTACAAAGCATGAGACTCGTGCGCGTCTGTGAGAGCGGCACATTAGCACTCCATTTGCCCAGCTTTCCACCGCTTCGGCGCGACTTCTACACCTCTGGCGTCTGCCTCGGAGCGCCGTGACGGAGTCGTGGGCGGCGGCACGGGGCGCCGGTGGCGCTGCGTCGCAGGTCCGCGCCGGCTCCGGTGTCGGTCCTCTCCGCCGCCGGCCTCCGAGATGGATGATGTGCCGTGAGGTAACACTTAGCGCACGGCTTCGTTAGCCATGACGGCCGGCGTGTCCCAACGCGGAATACTAACGAGCGCGCTGAGTCAACATGTCAATCGCCGCTGGCTGGCGGTCCGGTCCGCCGCCGTGTGCGCACTGATGAGACTGGAGAGGTCCGCGGGGCGGCTCACACGCTGACTGGTCTGTAGGGTGCCCAGAGTGCTCTCACGGCTAGTTTGTGAGAGTTGTCTGTTCACCTACCTGTCAGGCCACCTGCAGTTGAGTCGGCGTTATGTGGGGCCATCTGCCGCCCTCCGCACGGGAGGCGCCGCCCCAGGCCCCCAGCACGGTCGGCGGGGCGCCGTCCGGGCGGGTTTACGGCGCTGTAACCAGCGCTGGAGTGGACGCTGGGTCGGCTCTGAGTACTGGTCGACAGAGGCCGGCCGACCGACCTGTGAAGGCTCGGCTCGCAGGGAGACCGGTGTGAGGCGCCCCTGGTCACTGAAGTGTGTGATAACCGACCCTCGTGTGAATTAAGTCGCCGTTGGATCTGACAGCGTTTTACTGTCCACATAAGCGAGCCGTTGCACTTTTGGCTCGCATTTATGTCTAGATAAAGCTGTAACACTCACGTCTAGTAGGTTTGCCCCATGCTCAGTAACTGTGAGTTGCCGGGGAGCGCTGAAAGGTTCGTGTGTGAGCGGAACTGACCCGGCTGTGACCTGGGCCGGCCGGGCGCCACCCCCGGCCGACATTAGCCGGGCGGGTCGGCACCTGCCACTCACGGCCGGCGCCTCGACAGGCCATTAGCGGCTGTCTGTCAGTCGGTGATGCCGCGCCGTGCGCCGGTCCCGACCCGAACCCCGCCGGCACCTCCCCTCGTCCATCATCACATTATGCATGACGGCTGGTGGCCACCATCCATCGCCTCACGTTTATTCACAGTTGCGAAATGGCGCATTTCGCAAAGCCACGGATGATATTGTATTTCATAGCGACGCCGTGGGCCGTTCATGCCGTCAATCTCGGCTGCGATGATGCCGATGCGGCGCGATCAAGTGAAAGTGGGCGGTATGTATGCTAATTACCGACGAGTGGTGGTGTAGCTAGACCGAACTGGTTCGAAACTATGCACGGTATGCTGATTGTACCGTGCTTCAGTGTTTCCAGACCGGTAGTGGGCTTGTCTGACGGGACTGGAACTGTGTAGAAAAACCGGTGGGTTTTGTAAAATTGTACGGCTTCGCTGTTCGAGTTCCAGTCCGAACACCTGTTCGTCTTTACGACTGTTGTAATTAGTTCCTAGCCGTCTTTCGTCCCCGATCTGTCCGCATATCATCTGTGACCCTCGCAGTCTGCTGTCATGCTCAATGGCCACCCTGCCTATACCTTCCCACCCCTGCTGGTCCTTATCGAGTGAGTCGACTGTCGGCGTGGGGAGACGGAGGGTCCTGAGCCGACGGGGGTGGGTTACGGGTCTCGACCGGAGGTCTCCGGTACAGGTGGCGCTGCCGACCCGTCTTGAGCCGGGCGTCTGTCGCGCCATCTGGGAACAAGTGCTGCTAAGGTGTGTGGGGCACTTCGGCTGTAGTCGCTGACTAGCATACGCAATACGCATCCTCCATGGTGTGTGCTTGTTGATAATGCATGACCTGTGGTATGCTCTGGACGGAGTTAATTTGATGAGACGAGGGTCTCGGGATTCAGCTGCCATAATAGTTTGCCAAGCAACCACCGTGTGTTGCTAAGCTCACGGGAAGATTGCTTACCTACTAACGGAGATACTGCTCAAATTGATGATGGCCCTAGCTGAACAGGGAGAGAGAATACGCTGAAATTACTTCAGGCTCCAGTTGAGATAACCTTTCGCAGCGACTTCTAGAAATAACTGATGTTTCCCTTACCGCAAAGCTGTGCGACTTTTTAGGTTTGTGTTTGGGGACGTTTTCCAGACCCTGGTCCTTGACACCTTCCTGCATCCGCCTGGTCGTTGTAGTGGAAATTTGTTTATATGTTTTGTCCATTGTCTGCCAAGATCCGCCTCAGCACTTGCTTCAGAGCTCAGCTGGCAGGGGTGGAGAAATATGCCGAGTTGGGGTTGCACGGGCGCAGCAAATCCGCCGCCGCCCTAGCGGTGACCTTGACCTCCGCCGTCTCGTGCGGCTCCAAAGCCAAGCCGGCGCAGCCAGCGTGGAATTGGGAAGGCTCGTGCTACCCCAACTCGGCACATTTGTCCACCCCTGCCAGCTGGAGCTATTTCTGGCGCCGATTTTGGATTTGGTCTCTTTACTGAGCGTTGGAACTTAAACTTGATGCTACTTTTGCATGTTGTACCTATATGGTGTTCTTAAAAGTAACGATTGCAGTCAATTTCTGCTGTTGTCCTACGCTTTGACTTTTTCACATGCGACATTTCCCCAGTGAAGTTTAACTTTGTATCATTGGAACGATAGCGCACGGTGGGCTGTTGATTTCCGCGAATCAGGTGCCTGTGCCTGTTGCGGTGGGCGCCTGCTTACGTGTGCGCTGGTTGCTAGGTGCCGGGAATAGGCACTCGTTTACGAGCCGGGCTTTGGTTATCTTTGGTTATCGGTATGTGGACAGCGGCTGGCGGCTGTGCCCTGACCTCATTCAGCCGCTGGCAGTCGCCCACCACCGTGAATCCCCGCCCCGTATACACGCCGGCACACAGACAGAGCGGCAGGTCAGACACTAATGACCCGGCAGGATGCGCCCGTCGCCCGCAGGTAAACGGGTGAATCCCTCGCCGGATACACAGCGGGTCCGTCGGGCGGTCGGGTTCCGGCCCCAATTTAGCCGCGCCGCAGGGGGTGAGACACCCCCCTCCCCCTCCCCCCACACACACCTCTGTCCCAATTCAGACTGGTCTGCCGCTCTGCTCAGAGTGGGTATTTTTACAGGCGCCGGTCTCCAGGGCCACGCTGCGCGGTCTCCTCGAGTGGCGGCCGGTTGTCTTTATCATTCAAACCATAACGGCTGGCTGGCTACCGGCCGCGATAGCTGCTTGAAAGGCCGCGTGTCAACAGCTGCCGGCGATGGCGGCGGCGGCAGCGGCGTCACCCGATCACCGCCCTTCCGGCGCCCATTGAAAGGTGCCGGAGCGGTCCGCTCGCTCGCCGTTCACTCTGTCCCGAGTCCCTCCCCGTCCCTCCCCGACGCGGGCAGGTGTGCCTTGTGTGTCGCAGTAATGGGGGCCGCTGCCTACCGCCGCTCCGCCCCGTGACCTGGCGAGGCCACCGCGCGGCAGACTCGTCTGTGTCACCGCCCCCATCACTCGCTGTCTGCTCTAAACAGGCGCGATTATTCGGCAGTTATTACCCGCAACATGGGCCATTTAATTCACGATGATCAGTGATCGCCAATGTCATGCAAACCACCCGCGCTTTGGCAGCTAATCGCTCTATTTGCATCGTGTTTAACTGCTTTAATTGATGCGTTATGGGCAATTAATTCGTGGTATGAATACTATAAAATCTAACTCCAATGACAGGACTGGGAAATATGTAATTCTATGGCAAGCAGCTTGCGGATTTGTGTAATTGTACTAATTATTGTCATACTAATTTTAGTTTCTCTCGGTTATTGTCCCAGATACGCCGACTGTTATAGGCCCCAACGACGTAGGCCTAAATATCTGACACTGAATGACAGGCCGCCGGCCGTTAGCGGCTAGCAGTCAGTAGATTCCATGGCTAATGAGGCGAACGTCAGGGAAAAACGCAAATAAAAACATGATTTCTGCTGCTTGGTCAGCTGAATAATTATTCTCCATGACTTATGTCGGCCTTGAGCGTTCGCTTCCATGCGTTCGCCGGTGGCCCCAAACAGGTGCCCTGTCGGCCGGTCTATTTGTCAAGGTTTCAGATGGCCCCCGATAGACGCCGCCGACCTCCGCTGCTCAAGTGCTCATTCATGTAAGATAATGTTTTCGGGTGCTGGGCGGGGTCGGGAGCGTCCAGCATTCATGTCCGACATGCCGACCGCTCTGTGGTGGGGGCCGGTGGGGATAGAACAGCCACTGTTGGTGCGCCGCCGGGCTGCCTGGAGTTCCCGGCGGTCTCCGTCAGCTCCAGGGTTGTGGGAATGCCAGTCGGGATGCCTGGAATAGGTGTGGAGGCGGTGGGCTGTTTGGTTTGTGAGTTGAAGAGGCGACCGTTGGGTAAAGTCTGTTTCCTTGGTTTGGTCGGCTCGGCGGTCGGGGCCTGGTAGTTAGTCCGGACCCGGTGCAGTTTGGTCCGGATTCATTGCAATGGGGCCTTGATGTAAGTTTGCTCTTTGCTGCACTACGTCATGTTAGCTCTGCCTCGTTGCATGGCTAGCGTTTGGGTGGGCGCCAACTGCCTTTGCATTCAGCGCGCCGTATTTCTATGCAAATTGGCACCCTCAGCGCCCTGCCCTTTGTACCCGGCACGTCTTCCCAGCCTATCGACCGTGTGTTGGTGCTTTCGCAGCACATCTCAGGGTCAGGCCGGACTGCCTCCACGGCGCGGTGTTCCGTTCCGTTCCCCCGTCCACCGTCCCCCTTTCGCCCCCCCCCCCCGGTACGTGACCGGTCGCCGTTGCCGAGCGGCGCGTGATACGCCGCGTCGTTCAAACCAGTTCCCTGTCTCGCTGGGTGTGCGCCGCGCCGGTGGCCGGGCCGGGCGGACCGCCCCCCGCCACATGGTGGCTTTGTGCGGCGCCGCGCGGCCGGCAGAGACGTGCTGCCGTCGGGCTGTCTCGGGTGACACGCCGCCGATGGCGGCCGGAGGCGCGGCGCGCCCGCCCGCTCAGGGCAGCTCCGCGCAGTGACAAACTGTGAGCGTCCCTCGGGGAGACTGTGACTGTGAGCGAACATGGACGTGATCGAGAACATGTGGCTGCGGCTGACGCCCAAGACGACCCGACAGAAGCGGAAGCAGGCCCGCCGCGAGCCCCTGGAGGTGAGCTAGTGGCGCCGTGACCGGGCCACTCCTCTGTCCGTTCTCCGCACACAGGCCATGGGCAGAGCAGGCCGGGGTCTGAGATCACCGACAGTCGAGGGGCGATTTACGTCCGATGGGCGATTTACGTCCAATGGCCGGCTGGGGAGCGACGCTGAGATCAGGGTCCCGTTGTAAATCACCGGGGTACCGCCCTCTGGAGACCGGCATTACTCCGCCCCGGTAGAGGCTTCATTGGTGCCGTGAGTGATGATGACGGGGTTTTATTTGATTTCACACCGGGAGCTGTGAAAATGGTCTCGGCTGTCGTCGGTGTTGGCCGATCTGTGACAACTGTGTGCCAATGTGTGTTCAGCACCTGTCGCACTGATTGTTCGTGGGAAGCTTTGACGACGGCCGAGCGGAGGAGTCATTAGTCGTATGGCGACAGCGGGCCCGTTCGCCTTTCATCTGCCGCGCTGTGAAGGACGGAGTCGGTTCGGGTGAGCACGTCTTTGTGGAGAGCCGGTCGGTTCCGCCTGCATAGCCCGTCATTGGCTGTGTGTGATGCCCTGTGCCGGTGCCACGGGCCACGGTCAGTCTCTGTCCGACCGTGACCTGCGACTTCCTGTGCCGGCGGCGGTGGCTGCAGCGGCTCGGTTAGCGCCAGGCGGATCGCCACCAACCGATGTTTTGAATTTCACACTCATAAGGTGGCGGGGTGGAGTGTGTCTATCCATAAGGCGTGTCTTATCCCGCGGCGTATCGGGCGTGCCGGCTTATCTGTGCGGTGACCGTTGGAGATTTTTCATGTACAGGTGGCACCGTGTGACGGTCACACAGACTTCACGTTCAAATCCGGGTTTAGGACGGCGCCTTAGTGCAGGGTTGACCACCAAATCCGCCGTGTTTGTTCACAAACAGCGCGTGTGATCGCGCACTCTGCACTCTGCAGCGGTGAGTCGCTGTGACTCAGTGCGCCACCCGCTCCTCCGCTAAAGGAAAACCCGCCGCTGCGGTCGGCTCCAGTGGGAGAAAACGGCGGCCGTACGCGATCCGGTTTTAGTTTAAACCCACTGCACTGCTTTGTGTCATGTGGTCAGCTGGAAAAGGGAAGTTGAACTGGTCGTTGCGGCACCTCCCGGCCTTGGTGGAGTGGGGTGTTTTCAAACAGACACACCGCCCACCTGTGCTGTGAGACGAGCCGATGGCGGCGCCGGCGCGACCTGACCCGGATCGGACGCAGGGGCGGCACTGGCGGCCGTTGGACGGGGCGTGCCGGCGCCGGGTCACGCCACGTACGGCGCAGCTGCGTCAGCGCGGCCGCAGCCGCCGGCCATTGTTGCCAGAGCCGCGGCGCCGCCGCTGACGGCCGCACAGGCTCCTGTGGCTGCTGACCGGGCAGCGCGCGGGTCGGCTCTCCGGAGTCTGACACCGTGGGGCGGCGGTCTCTGGCGTCTCTGCGGTGTTGGGGGGAGCGGGCGGCTCCTATGTCGGTCATACACTGAGTCAGCCGGTCAGGGTCCTGAACTGATTGACAGTTCGGTGTCGGTGGCTGAATTCGAGTGGAAAAGCCACGCCCATTCTGCCGCGCCACATGCCACCAAACGACACAACTGATATTCGAGCAGAATAGTTTCAAATTAGTGTTCAGTGTGCGTGGAGAATCCATTAAACCACGAACTGAGAGCGGTCAGTTTGTTGCAATTTGATTTTTAAAATGTTCACTGGATTCGGCAAACAAAATATTTAGGAAATGAGCCGATGGACTGCCGATGAAATTGCTTCCTAAGAACACGCAATGTCACGTTTATTTCGTGTCATTTTATTAAAAAAAAAAACGTTGAAAGCCAGTGAAACGTAATGCCAACGTAATGCCCAGTACAACGCCCGACTAAGTGGGTGCTGAATGCTGATAAACCTGATATGAATAGATATGCGATGAGTCACATCCCATCAACGGCCTGTCGTCTTTTCTAACGTCCACGTGCTGATAAGGCGGTCTCCATTCAGTTTTGAAATTTATCTGGTCAATCGTGGCTCTTTACCTATCAGACGCCGTGTCTGTGCATTACCGCCCTGGTAACCGACATTGCAGTCCAGCGCTCTGTCTTCGGCGACACGCTCTGAGATTAGAGTAGGTCGTGACCGGAATGTGTCATCGTGTCGCCGCCGGCGGACAGTGACCTGGCCCGCCTGTCCTGGTCGTGTGCACCGGATACATTGGTCGATGGTCGAGCTGTCAGCCCCGTGCTCGTGCCGTGTCAGCCGGGGAGATGTCTGGCGGGGAGGGGGGGGGGGGTCGGTTTCCGGCGCTGTCTGTGGCCGCGTCCGGTCCCGTTACTGTCAGCAGGACGCCGTGCAGCTGTGCAGCTGTGCCTCGGAGGTGATATGTGGAGCTGGGTCGGTCGATATGTCGTCGTCATGCCTCGGCCCCACGTCGTGCTAGTCATCCTGAACTCCGCGGCCTCCGCCGCCAGTATGTGGAAGCTGTGATGGGTCACATGTCTGGTTTTCCACGCTAAGTCGGCGGCCGTGAGCGGCCGATCAGAGTGCTTCGGTGAAGCGAGGATGACAGCTGATGTCCGATCGGCTCCAACAAGGCGACCTCGCCAGTCGGGATACCGCCGCATCGGACTCCGATCGGGGGCGACGGCCGATTTTCGCCGGCATCCTCATTAGCTCCTCATGCTGGCCGTGTTATCTGTCTGTTGTTTGTCGCTCCGTTCACCACCCTTTCCGGCGACACCGGCTCGCGGACCCGATTTTCTGGTTAGAAGCGACATCTTCGACCTTCGCCGCTCGTCAAGCCTTTGGGCCCATGATAGCGTCGCCTGAACACGTCAGAAAAGGCGTCAACCTTATTAGAAAAGGGAAAGAGACTCGCCCTGTGTGGGCTGCGAAAACGTGGGAGAACAAATCGCTTTCGTCACGGTTCACGGAACTGGAACATGTAATGGAACGCTGGGGGCACGGCGAAACCGCGCGGGTCTCACGGCGTCGGCCGGGGGACGGTCTCCCGCTGCCGCTGGGTCTCGAGCAGGTGACCTGGGGCGGCCTCTCTCACACCTGCTGCGGGTCACAGGATGTAGTGCGCGTGTCGTCAGCGGTCCCTGATGGGTGTCACTGTGCTGTGTCGGCATCCCGCGCGGCACGGCGCCTATTGTTTGAGCGATGGTCACAGGACGAGTGCGTGACCTCTGACCGGCGCCGCTCTGTGCTCCGTGATTACCGGCCGTGTCGGAAGTGTACCGCTCCCAACGGACTGTCACTTATGGGTCCGACTGTCTATGGTACGGCGCAGAATGACGGAAAGTTATCACAGCTGATTTGGTGGCCGGGGGCGGTGATAACGGCGGGATAATCTCCCTTGGGTGAAGGTGCGCCCCAGTTGAAATGGTTGTGTCACGCCTCACGAGCGTGCGGCGCTGGTGTCACGATATGGTATGGAACCGGACATGGTCCGGTCATGAATTTCCCTTCCTTCGCTTGTCTCGTTATCTCTGCCTCTCCGGGCAGGCAGGGCAGCCAGTACAGTGGTCCATGGTTTCAGAACTGTGTCCGGTCTGATAAGACTGGTGCACTGGTGCAGTGCAGTGACCAGAAGCCGGTTCATACTGGCTAAAAGCACCATCTCGACCTGCATTCTTGATCAGCTTCAGCAGCATGGCATGCTGCTCTGAGGCGGGGAGCTGCGCAGCGGGCACCGACCGGGATTCACCCGTCTTTCCCCACCCCTATGTCTGCTGATGCTCCAGATCACCTGATCAGCAAACATCTCGTGTTGTGGGCTTCGCTGGAGTTTTAGGAAAGTTGGGTAAACGGGTGCAGATCTCGCCGCGTGCTGCTTTGAAACCAGGAAATGGTCTGAGCCGCTGCTGTGAAACGATATGAAACTCGTTCCTGCGAATGATTGGGGCGAGCGGCAGATTCTGGGATGGGCTCGCCGCTCGCATTGTTAGCTTTCGATCACTTCCCGTTAGTATCCGCCCGAAATGAATTGGACCAGTCATTTGTCTCGGCATCGCTGACATCCAATTATTCCTTGTTCGGAGCGAGTCAGAAGAGTGATGGTTCTGACCGGCACGGCGCCATAGAGAACGTAAACTGTTTGTTTATTCGGCCAAACTTTGGTCGGCCGGTTCCGAACTCTGCGCTCTCCGGCAGGGCCTGGAGTGTAGAGCGCCGCGCGATCGGGCCTCCGTGGCCCACATTGTGACGAGAGCGGCGGCTGAGGCAGCGTTTTGGACCGGCCGGCTGCCTGGAGAGCAGTCTGCGTCCGTCTGCTCCGGCGCTGGGCCGGTCGTGATGGCTGCACAAGTCGTGACCCCGGACTCTCGGACGGACGGCCGGCGAGCCGGGACCCAGCCGATCAGTATGCGAGCCGGGGCGTGGCGAGGGAGGAGCGCCGCCCCCTGAGGCGGGCGCCGTGGCAGCCGGCTGACCACCAAGGGTCATGCGTCACGAAATGTCATTCTGGGCCGATTCACCGCTGATTAGTGTCTAGGGCACGCTCAGAGCCTCGCCGCGACCATAGGCAAAGATGACATGAGTTGTGGTTGGGAAATATCGCGTCTATGACCGCCGCGGCGACTCACGACGTCCCGGATTGTTCTCGGCTCTCGCTTCCTTTCTGCGGTGACCTGGTCGGCGCGGTGACCCGTGCGGCCAGTTTTGGACACTCGCCGGCGTTCCCTGGCCTTTGTCTGGCGGCTGTCGGGCCGGCTCCGTATTAGGCCTGGTCGCTGGTCTCTGCCCCCGCTGGTCGGTCTGTCGGACCACGTCAGCTGTCGGCGGCGGTGGCGGCGCGGCGCTATCGTCGACCACAGGATGTCCGGCGGCGGCGACGCGCGCGTGCCGCCAGCGCTCGACGGACGTCGGCTGGGCACGGCCGTCAGTGCGCCTCCCGCTCGCCGCGAGGTCGCCGGTTGGCCGCGCTCTCCGGTGTCCGGTGTGACCGCTGAGGACTGAGAGAGCCGCCCCGTCCACCCACGACAGCCACCAGTAGCAGAACATGAAGGTAACATTGGCTACAACAGCCGCTGTTACGGCGTTCTCAGTGTGCCTAATTGCATGTGTAGCGCCTGTCATTGGTACAACTTCAAAGGCATTCCGGACAAAGCGCCGTCTCTCCGTCGGATGTGTTCGGGCGTTCTGGGACGTTTGTGGGCCGTTTTTGTGAGGGCCGTCTGTTCAGTCGCATGTGTCGCCCGTCTGTTTTATCGTTTTACTCTGTTTTACTGACTTCTCTGACGTCCGACTGAGCCAGATGCTGCCGACTCGGACTGACGTTATGCGATCCGACGTGACTTACGCAAGGTGCTGACGTCTTTCTGAGACATTTGTTAGGGCTTCTTATGCAAAACGCTAGCAAAAGTCAGTGACCAGCAATGCAGTTGAGATATCAATAGCATCAAAACATTTCGGTATAGCTCTATGCGGATCTTTTGAAGAATATGCGAAAGGTTATGCTGGAATGATTATTTCTGTCCTGTCGTCGCCATGGTTGATCCATTATTCGTATGACTAGCCGTTCGCTCTAGCATGGTGTTTATAATTATTTAATGTGAAATTCCCTGTTGATGATGCATTCATATTGTGCGTTGCACTGAAGGATGATAAGGAAATAATCCGAATTAGTTCGCAGAGTTCGTGGTAATATCCAGCCACCTCAGTGGTAGTCGCGGAATTTCCTCATCTTTGTGAGTGGCCGGGGTGAAAACAGCAGGAAGGAAGCGACGCCCGCATTCTCTCCCTGAGCTCGTGCTGTGGAGATATGCTCGGAAGTGCTGGGACTGTGGACTGATTTCTTGGGAGTAACCTTGCTGGGATTTTCGCGTCCTCGTCTGTTCCAGTTTGCGTACAAAGCACGAGTGTGTTTGCCCTTACACACCAAAGCTGACTCACTTGCTCGCCTTTATTAATCACAGCGCGTGCTACTCTTATCTGAGATGCTAAGTAGCTCATTCCGCGTTGGACATGGCGAGGCAGTTGGCCGGGCGCGTGGCTCGCTGTCCATCCGTCCTGTTTGTTTGAGCGTCGGGCGGTGCGCGGCGCTGGCCGCGGCGCTGGCGGACGGCGGGCGACGAGTGGAGGTCGGCGGCGCAGTCGCTCGCCGCCCGCCCAGCCAGCCGGCCCCGCGTCCGTCCACCGAGAGGCGGGCCGCGCCGTGGTCCCAGCCGGCCGCCGAGGGACAGTCAGTGTGCCGCCGGTGGTGTGGGGAGCCGTGCCGTCCGTGTCTGTGTGTGGGGAGACTGAGTGACTGAGGACGCCGTGACGGGTGCTGATCGGAGAACCGTCACACTCGTGACGCTGCGGTATCGCGTGACGCCGCCGTTCTCGGGAGGATGCCGGCGTGGCACGACCGGGTGCAGCCGGGACTGGCAGCGCTGGTCGCCGGTCTCATGACTCCAACTCCGGTGAGAGCTGAGCGGGACGACCACCGGCCCTGTGCCGCAGCCGCCGACCGCATAGCTGAATGGCATTACCGCCGTCTGATAGGTGGATTTGTTATTCAGTGGGGACACGTCGCATTCATGCATTGTTGTTGAGTTTATTGACGAGTTTAGTGGCTTTAGAAAGTCTTCCAGACCACCAATCCCTTTTTATGGCGTGTACGATGCACTTTTGTGGATGTCAGAGATATTGGGCACTGGTCTTGCAAATGTCATCACATTCATGTCTTGCCTATGTCATTATCTTGGCAATGAAGCCTTATCCTGTTGTGCACTGGCTTCCACGGTCACAGGAAGCGCTCATTCTGTTAAAAGGTGATCAAAGCTCTCTCAAAGGATGTTTCTTGTCTACAGTTCATTTGTGGCTGGTCGTGCTCCCTGGTGTCCTTCATGTTGATTCATTCGTTGCTTATCCGGAGCCCATGTGGTGCATTGAGTTGATTCATTGACCGGGCGTCTGGGGCGTGTGGCGGCTGATGTCAGTGGCCGTGATCCGCCTGTTCCGGGGATAGCGTGACGGCGACGGCCAGTCCCGTGGACGGGTCAGACGGACGCCGGGCGAAATCGGCAGACTCGCCGACCGCTGAACCGACGCGACGGGCGGCTCTGGTCTCAGTCGCGGAGACAGAGGCTGTAATGTTCATCGATACCGGTAGCTAGCCGGGTATATTGTTCAGTCCGACCCGCCCTGACTCGACCCGACCTCACCAGTTAGAGCTGCCCCCGCCATCCGCCGCCCGGTTCCATCCGATAACAGGCTCCAGCCACCCCGCGTCGCTGTTTATCGGCTCGGCCGCGCCGGTCCGCTCCGACTACTAATGTTTCCACCGGAGGTGGTTTTTTATGTGTTTGTGCTGTATGTGCTGTGCTCCGATCGTTTACCAGTTGCCACCCGGGCGTGAAGCACAGCGGCCGATTCTACATGAGCGGGGATAGTGATGACGTCCAGGATATCGTTCTGCAAACTGGCGATGACTGATGGTGGTTCATGTTTCTCCAGATTTCCAGAAGCCTGATGTGGTTCGTTGGTCAGCGCGAGATGCGGCTAATGGTCACTATCGCTAGGATATAATGTAACAGCGGCTGGGTTAGTCGGCTAGGTTATGGATTGCTCTGGCGAGTGGCGTCAGTCTAACTGCGTGCGTCGCTGGCTGTCGGGACTGGGAGTGCCCCGCTGCGTGTATCCTGCGACGCGTCAGTGGCGTGACCCGGCCTGTGTTTGCCGTCCCTATCCGCTGTTTGTGTAGTGACACGGTGTGGTGAGGGTCGACCACTGACCGGTCCAGAGTGCTGCGGTCCGTCCCCGTATCTGGACGCGGCAGATAGAGCCGCACGCGTGACTCTCCCTCTCGTTTCGGTCTGTCTGACTGACGCGTAGTATGTGCGATTTCTCTGACACGGAAACTGAATCGGCTTGATGTCTTTACGCTTCCACTTATGCATATGTCTGGCTGTGATAATGATTGTGTGCCGTTGATCTGCCTCTGTGCCCCGCTGTGACCCATGTCTGCTCCCCTTTGTGCCCCGTTCTGACCCGCGTCTGTCCTTTCTGTGTTCTCAGGCGGAGCTGGAGCCAGAGGCCAAACAGCGCTGGACCAAGGGTCAGTCGTTCCGGCGGCGGCTGAACCGGCGCGCCCTGTCTCCTCCGCCGGCCTCCCGCGGCGCCGCCCAGCCCACCGCCTCTGCGGCAGCCGCCTCCACATCGGAGGAGGACCCGCAGCTGGCTAAGGTAAGGACTGAGAGCCCAGACCAAGACTGGCTGTAATAAGATGTGGTGGAGTGGGATAACGTGAAATCGGTTGATCCATGCAGACTAGTCGATCAGGCAAACGTCGGCAGACGTCCCAGCGTTTACGTCAGCTGCTGGGTTCATGGTGACACAGTACGGCTATAGAGGTGCATCCCCGCGGTCACGGTAGTGCCGCTCACGGCCGTGACGCTCACCGTCCCGTGAAGGTGCTCACCGCTCACTCACGGTCGGGTCGGTGTTAAAGCACCTCACGGCCTCGGTCCGGTCCCGGTCGGGTGACGGCGCTCTGCAGGCTGCAGCGGCCCGGCCCGCGCGGACCGCGCAGCAGCTGGGACCATCGCTCACCGCCCGGACGCCGTCGCGGCCGGCGGCAGCTGTGATACTGTCGGCAGTGAGCGGCAGCGGTCTCAGGCGGCGCCGCTCCGCCTCATCGCGCCGGTATGTCGATGGCACCTCCGCTCCCAGCGACCGCCAGTTAGCGCGACTGTGGCCGGGGTCATGGCACTCTGGAGACTGCAGACGGATGGAGGGGTCGGACGGCTGGACGGTCTCGGATGTGACTGCGGTGCAGCGGGGAGGGGAGGAGGGCGGGCTGGGGCGGACGGCGGCACATGAGAGGGACGGCTAACCTGGCGGCCTTGAGGCCGACCGCTGCCGGTGCCCCGCTCGGCCACTGCAGAGGCACATGATTACCACTCGGTGCGGCCGCCGCCGGCCGGCTCACAGGGGTGGGCCATCCGGCCGGTTTTTCACCCGGTAACGATGTTGATAAAACATGCGTCACGTGATGCCACTGGGGCCGGTTCTTGCGGCGGCTCGCGGCCGGTGGGCGGCGGTGGCGGCGGTTCTTTGGCCGCCGCGGGCTGCCGATCGGGTGATCGGAGCTGGGTCGCCCGGTGGGAGGCCTGTGCTGCGGCTGGGAGGGATCGGCCGCGGGGCCGGCTGCTGTCGTTCTGCTGACTGCCGCGCTGTGTCGGCCCGGGAACCAGGCCGCTGCCGCCGGCAGTGGGTCCGCTCGGCCGTCACTGTGTCACTGGCGCAACGTCCGGCTGTGAGCTGCGCGTGCAGATCGTCCGGGGTCCGTCGGCGGAACGGATATGCGCGGTATCTCGGACGGCACGCGTGTGATCCCCGGGGAGCTGTCCTCCATACACACACGGCCAACTGCTGACTAGGGCTGATAATCCCGGGATCGGGATCCCGGGATCCCGGGATTGTATTAATCCCGAATCCCGGGATTAGAAGCATCGGGATTTCGGGATCCCGATATTTTCCGTACAGAAACATCGTTCATAAAGTGTAGCTGATAGTAGGTATGTTAAAAAAGGTAAGTGAGTAACAACGCATTACAGTGCAGTTTTATGTCCAAAGATCTTACTTACGCCGTGCAAAGTCGTTATGCACAAGTATTGGTTACATATATACCTAATTGACATTGTTTCACACCGTCTCAGCCTTCACAATGTGGCGAGAGACGAGCTCTCTCTCGGCTCATCTCTCGCTCCCCGCGACGTCCCTCGCGTACTCGGTTTAACAGATCATTTTGCACGATGACATACTAATACTATGCCGACTATCGAATTCGAGTCCATCGAGTGGGAGGAGGTCGGCCGTCTTCTCTGTGTGACTGTGGGAGCACGTCTGGTGGCTCAGTTACTGTCAGTGCCCCGTGGCTGGACGATCCATGAGGCTGGCCGGGCGCCCTGGGCATGGTTACCGTTAGTGAATAATTATTAATTACGTGCCTTTGTGATAAGCTATAGCTAACTTTGCCAAAATGTCGGATTTTGCTGAATTTAAAGGCAGTGCGGTGTGGGAACAACTTTTGGGATTAAACTTTCGCAATCTTCTCTGATGATGACGAAGGCCATAAGGAAAGAATTGGAAAATTTACCTATCTCAGGAAGGACAGGCATGGTAGCGCTGTCCTACAACTGGCTGAAGGGCATAGTTCCTACGAGTGTTGCATCGGAACGAGTGTTTTCCACTGTCGGGAATATCGTCACAAAAGTGCGGTCGAGTCTCGGCGACGAAGTCGTTGATGCACTTTGCTTCCTCAAGTGCTACTACCGTAACAAGTGAATGTGACCAGGACATGCTGCTGGACGCTGGTCAGACGACCACAATCCGTAGGCACGTCTACTGTATCCTGACTCGAAATATAAACAAGAAATACAATGATCAATGTCATTCATGCTCTTATATTTGTTCGGGGTGAAGGTGTATGCCTGGTATTGTGTTTATGATGGTAAGGATGCGCCATATACATACGATATTGCAAGAAAATTCTGCTTTGTAGACAGGTTAAAATAAAAACTGCTCAATCCCGGGATCCCGGGATATCCCGGGATTGCATTTCTAAAATCCCGGGATCCCGGGATTGCCAAAAAGTCCCGGGATTATCAGCCCTACTGCTGACCCTGCGGCTCCATACACACACGGCCGACTGCTGACCCTGCGGCTCCATACACACACGACTGACTGCTGATCCTGCGGCTGGTCTCTGGAGATCTGAGCTCAGCACAACTGGCGCTCTTCTAATCATGAAACCATTCAGTTAATCGACATACAAAAACTGGCTGAGTGAAAAGCGAGGCTGAGTGGGAGTCGTCTCGGAATAAATCGTGAGCCGGCGGGCCTGTAGCTATCGTGCGTGACCGGCGCCCATCCCTCTGCCGTGGACTGCTGTGGCTGGTGCGTCGTTCTCGGTAATAAGACCGCGCTCCGACGGAGCGCCGCCGACAGCGGCGGTAGCGCGGCGGCTACTGACAGAATCCGGATTCCACGCTCGGCTTAGCCGGAGACATGGTGTGAAAAGTGGGCATTTGACACCACAGAGTGTCCAGTTCCAAGGTCTTATTTTGTGTTTGCTCGGTTCGTTTAATTGTTTTTTGAATGACCTCCTTACAAAATTATACTTTTCATTCATGTATTTTTGTTTTATTTTTGTTTTATGCAGATATGTGCGAATGTAACGATTACTTGAGTGTACCCATTACCAAGTGTGAAAGTGCCTGTCATTCTTATCACGCGAAAAGTAGAAAGATAGAAACTGACGATGATTCGACTTGTACCTAATTACGGAGCGAGCGAAGCGAGCGGAGTCTTACGTAGAATAACGGAAATTTCTGAGTATGAGCGGCCGGCCGGCCGGCCGGCCGGCCGGCCGTGGGGACGCTCTTCAAAAGCTAATATCTTAGGAACGGGACATCCGATTGACAAGCGGTCTTCTTTACTGAATGTCACTTGGACGTAAAAGTTTTGTGGTGTGATGGCCACCATGCGTTCTTGCCAACCACCGCACGTGGCGCGTGGTAAAGTTGGACATTTTTTAAGAACCCCCAAAATTGCAACCTCAATAACGGCACAACGGCTGGGCCGATTGAATTGAAACTCGGTACACAGTTAGGTCTCCATCAGATAATTCATCTGCATGTGTTAAGGTTGGGGTGCTGCTGCACGTGCGCACGTGCAGGGGTCGTTTCCAGATCTCGAGAACGGCTGGACCGATGGCGCTCAAATTTGGTACACGGTTAGGGACCAGTTAGTAGGGTGCCGTGCACAAGTCAGTTGGGACCCATTTTGCACGTGCGCACGTGCAGGGTGCCGCTTCCAGATCTCGAGAACGGCTGGGCCGATTGTGCTCAAATTTGGCACATCGCTAGAGACCGGTTAGTAGGGTGCCGTGCACAAGTCAGTTGGAGGTACCCCCTCGAAATTTCGCACGTGCAAGGCCCACCCTCTCGCTCGCTCCGTTAGTCGCCCCATAAGGCGTTATACTGGTTTGTATTTTGTCTTCCAATATTCTTATATTTGGCATTGATGTGATCATGGCCCGTGGCCGAAAATTCATCTAAAACAAAAATACATGAATGAAAAGTATAATTTTGTAAGGAGGTCATTCAAAAAACAATTAAACGATTAAAATAAATGCCTTACATTCAGCAAGCACTTAACGAATTAAAAGGTGTTTGCTCGGTTGTTTGATGTAAATTCGAGCTGTGCTGTTGCACCAAGGCGTTGTTTTGCATACTCTTCTGGTGATGTAATTACGATGCACGCTATGACTGGCCGTGACCGGTGTACTGTCTGCTTGTCCATCTTTTGCGGGGTTAGTGCGGACTTGGAAAGGAAACCCTGGACCCTGGTGTCGTCACCCATTCTTACTGTTCCTCTTCCATGTAGTAATGCAAAAAGTCCAGTACACTCAGATGCCTCTATTCACACCCGTACCCGCTCGTGTCCCGGAGCGCACTGCCCGGCTTCACCACATTAGCCTAGATCATACCTCTGTACACGTCATATCACGTCATATCACGTCATTCTGAACCCTAGACAAAGGCTGATCAATTTCTCCCTCCGCCGACTCACCGTCGCCATAAGACCCTGGCTCGCAATACGACGCGCACCATCATCGCTCGAACCACGCAATGACTAAGACACAGACTACACCTCACCCTGATCCTCAAGATCATCACTTCCGCTGCTGCTGTTTAACGCATCAATCGGCACCACGTGGCCGAAGAAGTCAGGCGGCCGCCGATTACGCTGACCTCGGCGCACCACCCTTTCGCCGCTGTCGCTCTCAGACCGGCCGCATTCACCACCCGCATCATCAGCCTCCTCCACCGGGCGCCCCGGCGCGCCATCGCCCTCATAACCGAATGTCATGACGATCGGGGACCCGGCACGGTCCTCCTCCGCTTCCTGTGGGCCCCCGCTGCCCCGGTCGGGGGTCCGAGGGCCTGCTGCTGGTCCCCCGGTGTCACCGCAGTGGCGGAGGTCTCTGATGTGCCAAGGCACGCCGCCCACTTCAACCACCTGCGGCGACACCACGCCAGACACCGTTCCTCGAACCGACCGCTCGGTGCAGCGGGTGCCCGGCCGCCTCACCCACACGGCGTCCCCCACCTGGAAGTCGCCCTCCCGCCGGGCTGGCGGCCGTCCTATCACGGCCTCCTCGGACGCTCCGGCGGTAGCTCTTTGTCTCACGGCGTCCCTCACAGGGTAGCGGTAGATGCCGTTGGCGGGCGCCTCAGCCGCCGTCCCGCCGTCACGGGGCGTGATATTGTACAGGTGCACGGCCTCTCCGATGCCACACTTCTTCCGCGCCGCGATCACTTTGACACTGCGGTGGTTCCGCTCCACGATGGAGTTCCCGCTGGGGCGATGCACTGCGCGGAAACGCAGCAGCACTCCCCAGCGGGCAGCGAAAGCGGCGAACTGACGACTGCGGAAAGCGGTGTCGTTGTCCGCCAGAAGCTCAGCCGGTGCGCCTCGCTCCGCGAACACTTGTTCGAGTTCACTCGTGACTGTCGCCGCGTCCGACCGCCGCAGCAGCCTCCACACACAAAACCGTGACGGGCCACAGTCTATCACCGACAAGTAGGACTGACCACCGTAGTGCGTGACATCGATGGCCAGCCGGTCCCACGTCCCCTCCACAGCCAGCGACCCGTGCCTCCAGGTCACCGGCGCCGGGTCAACCGCGCGGCAGACGTCACAGGCCGTCACCACTTCCCTGACCACTTTCCGGGAAATCGACGATGACACATCCCGACGCGCGAAATACAGCGTTCGTCGGACACCCGGGTGACCCGCCCTGACATGTACGTCAGTGACGGCCTGTCGGAAGTCCACGGTAACGGCGCCGCCGCCGTCTCCCACTTCCGATCCAACCACTGCCGCTGCTGCCACTGGCTGTCCATCGCTCGGCCGCTGGTCCGCTGGCTGCGAGTCCTGACGCAACCACAGGGACGGCACTCGGGTCAGCGTGTCCGAACGGTTCTGAGACGAGCGGACTAGAGACACGGTGAGAGAAATGCCCAGCTCTGCGACCAGCTGCCTGATGACGTCGACCCGCCGGCGGATAAGCATCTCTCCATGTGCCTTGGTTCGCAGTCTCGCGCGCCCGCTCAGAGCGTCGCTGACCCACCGGTGAACAGTGGCGGAGTCCGTCTTCAGCTCGATGGTCTTCATGTCCCACGCCAGGGCCAGGTTGATGCCCCGCACGGCGGCGTCGAGCTCCGCCATGTTGATGTGGGTGGCCTCGTCCCGGCGGAGCCAGCACGCGTCCTCGATGACGTCACCTCCCTCGCTCTCCAGCACGACGCCGGCGGCTATCGAGCTGGCGTCCGTCCACAGTACGGCGCGGTGCCCAGTCACGCACCACTGCCCACGGGCCGGGTCCTCGCTCGCCAGTCGCTCAGCCACGTGCTTCAGCTGTTCCCGCAGGGCCGCGTCGTGTGTGACGTCATCCCACCCGCGTGTGAGAGAGTTGACACGACGCTTCAGCCACGCTGTCGCTGGTCTCAGCCAACCGCAGACCGGCAGGTGCGCCACGATACGACCACACCATGAAAACACGGAGCGCCGCGTCATTGCCGCGGGCGGTGAGCCGACTGGGTTGTCACGCCTCCAGGCCAGCCCACCCCCGACTGGCTCCACACGCAGTCCCAGCAGCCGCGCTCCGTCCGCAGCCCGCTCCGGCGGCTTACACTGGAGCCCATAGCTCGCGAAGTGGGCGATCACGCGCTCCGCGCTCACCACGTCCTCATTGACGCACAGATCGTCGACGTACGGTATGACGGCGCCCTGCATCACTGGGTCCTGTTGCAGCACCGTCCGCACCACCGCCTTCATGATGAGAGGCGCGACGTTGAGCCCGAATCCGACACGGGTAAGAGCGTACCTTTGGCCATCAATCACGACTGTCTGAAACGGCCACAGCCGACGATCGGTCCTGAGCTGCAAGTACGCCCTCTTCAGGTCGACGACGGCGACGTTGGCCCCGTGCCGCCGCCATTTCCTCAGCGTGTCGGCACATACGTCAGCGTCGGCCGTGTGTGCCTCCACATGGCTGTTGAGCTCGCGGCAGTCTAAGACTGGTCGTACTTTAGTCTTGTTCTGCTGTTCAACAGCCATGAGAGGGATCAGCCCGCGCGGCGGCCCGTCCACCGTCTCGTCGTACGGCTCCAGCCAGCCGTTGTCGATCCATGTACGGAGTTCAGCATCAAACTCCTGCCGTGCCTCGGCCGGCACGCCGTACTGGGGGACACCGTTCCTCAGGCACCCTGGCTCCGCCCCGTTCCGCCACTTCCACGCCACCGTCCAGTGTTGACTTTTCGCGTCATAAGTGACCGTGAAGTCTCGCTCTTCCACGGTCAACGCCGGGGGCGTCACGGCGCTGCATCGCGGCGGCACCCCTCCCGGGCCCGGCACGGCCACGTCGGGCCTCTCGCTGGCACCGAACACCACATCGTCCGCCGCCCGCACTGTCACCCCGCCCAGCGCCGCGATGCCGGTCATCCCCACCAGCATATCCACGCCCAGTGGTTTGTCCGGCACTACCACGGCGCTGAGCGTCACCGCGGGCCCGCCGCTCTTCAGCTGAACCGCCACCTCCGTTACTCCGCTGCTTGGCAGCCGGGACCCGTTGACGGCCATTACAGTCACGCCGCACCGTCTCCAGCTCGCGCAGCACGACTCGTGGATGATGGTGCAGCTGCAGCCCGAGTCGATAACAGCCACTCTGCGCTGCCCATTCACCAGCAGCTGCACCGTCGGTAGCGCGCCTCTTACTCTTGGGCTGCCCGAGAGGAGGTTGGCGCAGACACCGCCTCTCCTGACGCGTTTCCCGGCATCCGTTCCGGGCAGCGTGCCGCGGCGTGTCCTGGCTGCTCGCACCGGAAACAGATGATGTCCGCTCTCCTCTCCGCCCGGCAGTCACGAGCGAAGTGACCGGCTCGACCGCAGCGGTAACACCGTGATGACGCCGGCGTGTGGCGGGAACGGGCCGGCGCAGCGGCGGCAGCGGCTGCAGCGACGGCATTCTCTGCCATCAGCGCCCGAGCCCGCTCCACCAGCTCGGCCAGCGTCAGGCTCTCCATGCGGCAGCCGGCCCTCAAGGTATGCCTCGCCGCATCCGGGAGACCGGCCACGAAGCCGCACATCAGCGCCGTGTCGCCGAGCCCGCCGAACAGGGAGGCCAGCCGCCGCAGGTCTGCCAGGTAGACGTCGACGCTCTCGCCGACACGAAGTCTTCTCGCCGTGAACTCCTCGTACGCCTGGAACTTATCCACAGCGAACGCCCGCAGCAGGGCAGCTTTGACGGCAGAGTACTGCAGCTTCTCCTCGGGCTTCAGCTGCTGGTAGACGCTGAAGGCTCCGCCGGTCAACCGCAGGGGGACGACGGTTTGAATGTCGGACACTCCGCGCAGCTGACAGACGAGCTCCGTCTTATCCAGCCACTCTTCCACAGAGGCGTTACCGCCATCGAACTCGGGGATTAGCCGCATGTCCAGCGCCGAACTTGCCACAGCGCTTTCCTGTGACATGGTTGCCGAAATAGCTTGTAGTAATGCAAAAAGTCCAGTACACTCAGATGCCTCTATTCACACCCGTACCCGCTCGTGTCCCGGAGCGCACTGCCCGGCTTCACCACATTAGCCTAGATCATACCTCTGTACACGTCATATCACGTCATATCACGTCATTCTGAACCCTAGACAAAGGCTGATCAATTTCTCCCTCCGCCGACTCACCGTCGCCATAAGACCCTGGCTCGCAATACGACGCGCACCATCATCGCTCGAACCACGCAATGACTAAGACACAGACTACATTCCATCAGTCGCACGGCCATCTGCACAGCCTCTGTCCGCCTGTTGATCTTCCGCCCGCGGACGTTCGAATGCCCTTTAAACGTCCGTGGACTGTCGACCCCGGGCGACTGGCCAGTGCACACGACCCACCAGATCCCCGGGACGGGCGCCTGATGTGCGGACGGGAGACCGCGGAACCCGACCCCTGACATCGATTCTGAAGAGGTCACTGTTTGCGCGAAAACCGCCGTGATGTAATACATTTACCAACCGTTTTGTGGCGTGTTTATTGACTCAGTCTGTGCTGAGAGTGTTTATCCTGCCGTACACTGGCGCCTTATCTGGATGGCGAGCGGTCGTTTGTAACCAATCTGTCCCATCCGTTACTCTGTGCCGTTAGTGTCCCAAACTGACCTGACCTGACCTTTATCTCCACAGGCGTACGGTAACGTGTTGGAGGCGGCGGAGCACGGCTCTCAGACGGACAGCGTCAGTGCCAAGTCGGAGCGGACTGGCAGTACCGGGGCGGACCAGGGCGGCCGCGCCGCCTCCTGGGCATCATCGTTCGAGCGCCTCCTGGACGACCCGGCGGGCCTGCATACGTTCGCGGTGAGGACGGGCAGACGGGGTAGGCTGGACGGGGGATGTGTAGGGAGAACTGGTCGGACCAGTCGGCGGGACTCCTGCTCCCTTCCCCGTGTTGTCGGGGCGGGCTGCCCGCCGAGCCGAACTGGCATTGGTATGCAGCATCCAATTGAGGCTCCTGATGTCATGATCAGATGTCTGAGCCATGGTGATGACCGAGCTTTTTATTCAATCGTGATGGGAGATACGGCCGGCGGGGCCTGTGCCCGGCTGTGCGGCCGGCCGACACAGGTGCTGCGTCACCTGTGATTTAGACCGGTCCAGGGGCGATGTCCGACCCCCCCCCCCCCCCCCCGTATACCTCTTCCATCTCTGACACCACATCTATCACCGACAGGAGTTCCTCAAGAGCCAGTTCAGTCACGAGAACATCTACTTTTGGGTGGCGTGCGAGCGCTACAAGCAGCTCTCGGACGCCGAGGCGCGCCGCCAGGTGGCGCTGCAGATCTACGAGCGGCACCTGTGTGTCGGCGCGCCCGAGCCGGTCAATGTGGACAGCCAGGCCCAGCAGGCGGCCCAGGATGGCGTCGACCAGGCCGCCGTCACGCTCTTCGATAAGGTACGGCATGAGGAAGGACGGCGGTGGTGTTTGATTGGGAATGGAGTTGGTTAGGGACGGGTTATGCGTGACCGTGAGCGCCAACGTTCGAATTAATCATGGGGTTTGATTGGGGTGTTTTATCTCAGTGTCTTAATGTCACTCTTGCGTGACCTGCTACTATCTTCTGACCGTCGTTCCCTATGAACCAAAGACTTCCTATCTCTTGGCATCCTGGGTCGTTGCCTCCCTCTTCTCCCTTCCTCCCCCTATCCTTCACTCTTCACGGTCGCCTCACGCCGGTCCGGGTGGTCGCATTAATCGATGATTGCGCGTTCATTGACGCCGTCGGATACCATCGGATGACGTCGAACAATGGCTGACGCCCGAGTCGATCAGCTGACGAAGCATGTATTGCAGCTGGGACCTGCGAGCAGCTGCAAACATGTACCGCATGATAATGTCGCGGGGCGGGGATGCAGCTGTTTATCACGTGACCAGCGACCACCGTCCGCGATCTTTATTGACTGGGGTCACATGGGATGCGGTACTGTTAGTCCCCTGAGTTACGACGTAGCGATCAGCCTCTGACGGGCGACTCGGTACACCCGACAGGCGCAGCAGCAGATCTTCACGCTGATGAAGTTCGACTGCTTCCCTCGGTTCCTGAAGGCGACCATCTACACCAACTGTGTGTCGCGGGAGGCGGCCGGTCAGCCGCTGCCGTACCTGGGCGGCGACGCCCTCGACCCGGACCTGAGGCTCCAGCCCGAGGATAAGGTATGTGTGCCGGGTGGTCTTGTTTGTGAGCTGCGTGACACTGTTCGGTAAGCTCCTCAGGACTGGCGTGCTAGATGGGTTGTGGGCACTGGCAGCCGGCGGATATGGTCTACTGGTTTTCGTTTGTTAGGTAGGAAACGGTAGCGACTAGTCTTTATTACTGGTGATTCGACGGTGACGAATAGTAAGAGGCCGTCATTAGTTCGGATTGCGGAAGTGTCCCTGACTGCTGACATTTGAAATCTGACGATATGACGGGTGATACTCTCAAACGGAAATTAAGTACGTCTGAGGAAAGCCTATGCAACGCTGGAGACGTTTTTTGGTGTTCGGAAACTCGTAAATTTTCCTCAAACATGCCACGAGGAATTACATTTCTGAATCATTTCCGTCAGGTGTTGGCGGGTCGTTACCCGATGTGACCTCTGTTGTTCCGCGTGCCTGTTGCCTCACTCTCACCTCCCACGGTATTTGTCCTCAGAAGCAGAGCAAGTCCAAGGGCGGCAAACAGGAATCGGGAGAACGGCGGCGCAAATCGCTGCTGCCCTGGCACCGCAAGGACCGTTCCAAGTCAAAGGACCGCGGCGAGGCCGATTACAAGCGCAAGAAGCGGCAGCGCGAGCGCGAGGAGACGGGCTCGGTGCGCAGCGACCTGTCGGGCAGCCGGAGCTCGCTGGCCTCGGCGGATCTGGCCAACCTGCAGCGTAACGCCGTCAGTCGCGAGGTGAGAGTCGGACCGAGTAGAGCGGGCGGAAATGGGCAGAGGACGGAGAGCGTGAGCTCACGTCATCACTTCGCGTCATATCCTCGGTCGGACCTGTGCCGCCGGAGCCTTCCGCTGCTCTTTGTCGTTCGTTGTGCAGGAGCCAGGAACCGGTGGTAGCCGGTTTTCCGTTGGAGTGAGATAGAATTTCAGTTAATCTGAGTCGTGACCGCGGTGTACAATGTCAGTTCATGGTATTGGGAGCTATTGGATAGTGCTGACACGGGGCGTAAAGACACGCTGTATCACATTTCAACCGCGGCTGACGTCAGTGTATTGCTGGAATACTACATAGATGCAGGATGACCACTGCGTTTTGTACATTGTCTTAGGGTGTTCAACATGGTCTTGGAAAACATCGTTTTGCAGTGGGTATGCCATATACATATATGTATGCCTTAGCAAATGCTTCCGCTCTCATGAAGCATCAATGAAGCTTATCTGCCAATCGGATAACTGTGAACTACTTTATTACAGAAACCCTAATTATCTGCAACTTTACGCACCTCTGACCGATTCCCCGTCGCTCCGTCTGTTCAGTCGCTGCACGTGGCCGACCAGCCGTCGGCGGCGGCGGCGGCGCCGTCGAGCGCGGCGGTGTCTGCGTCGTCGGCCGAGCCGGAGTGTCTGCTGTGCCGCGTGGTGCTGCCCGACTCCAGTTCGGCCGTGGTGCAGGCAGCGCCGGGCGACTCGGTACGCACCATGCTGCAGCGGCTGATTGACCGTCGCGGCCTGCCCTACAACTCGTGGGACGTCTACCTGGCCAACAGCGACCGGGTGAGTGCGCGGCGGGGCTGGGGAAGAACTGGTGGGGAGAAAGAGCAGGGAATTTACCGATGTGAGCGTGCAAAATTCAGCAGCTATAGTCCTTTGACGTTGACTAGTTCTCCCCCAGAACCGGGGATGAACGCACTTACTCGTAAAACGCTCGAGCATCATAAAAGATAAGTCAAATATGCTATGCATATCATTTTTCACTCTGCCATGAATCAGCAGCACTTTTTCTCCATCTCATTTTCTCGGTGTATTCGCCCGTTCATCCCTCTGACGTTTGTCCGCCCCTTGCGTCCCCCAGCCGCTGGACCAGTCGGTCGACTCGTGCTGTCTGGGCTGCAAGGAGATCCGCATGGAACAGCGCGTCCTGTTCCGTGTGGACCTGCCCAACCAGAAGACCATCGGCGTCAAGGCCAAACCCAACCGGCAAACCTGTGAGGTGCTCCGGCCCATCCTCAACAAGTACGGCTGCAAACTGGAGAACGTCAACGTCTTTGAGGTGAGTGGCCAACGCAAAACCATGAGTGGAAGAGTATAAAACGTATCGATGAACTTTGTCATACCGGCGTCGATTTTTTGTTTGTTTTGTTGGGTTAGGCCCTTTCGGTCCAATGAGACCATTTCAGAGCCGGGAGGATGATAGGATATAGGGGGAGACATTGGTCTGGGCAGGCACCCTAGTGAGTCGCCGGGGCTGAGCCCGTTCAAGGACAGGCCACCCAGCCCCAAGGCACTCACTGCACCCGGCTACGGGGTGCGCTCCCTCAGGAGCAGCGGTGCCGCTCCAAGGGAGCAGCCCGCATGAGATAAAGTTGCCTGTCCAGCCCGGAGGGGGTTGTGGCGTGGAGGAGAAGGATTTAATCTGTATCCTGAGGATAGAAGCAGGGAACGGTGGTGCCGGCGTCGATGTGTCGATGTCTTATAAGATCTTTCAGCTCTTGAAGACTGTCACTAGAAACTTTGCGAAGAGGACATGCAGTCATGTTAGGCCCAGTCGATACAGTTTAGGACGCCGACAATAGAATGCACAGCTGCTCGGTGGGCTGTTGGCTGCCCGTACCCGCCCTCTGACGGCCTTGTGTGTCTCTCTGTTTCAGTCCGGTGGCGGCGCGCCGCTGGACTCGAAGGTGCCGGTGACCCAGCTCGACAACCGCCACCTGGTGGTGCGGTGGCGGGACGAGACGCCGTCCGCCGCCGAACCACCCCCCTCCTCCTCTGCCGCCGACTCGCGACACAGGGCCTTCCCGAGCCTGGACGAGATCACCAATCGGGTGTTTGACGATCTGCTCAAGGGAAAGGCGGATGGCACGTTTGATGATTTCGGTGTCATCGACCTGGACCAGAACTCGAGCAAGGTGGGTGGACACATTCGGTGGGAAGGGTGGATAGGCGAGGGACTGATTGACGGTCTGAGTGTAACTGGGCTGTCACATTGATCTTTTTTCTGGAGCATGCATGCTTCAGCCAGTATGAGTTACAAAAGCGTAAAGAGATAATGTCGTTTGTTCAGTTTTTCGTTGGTCTCGTTAATATGCTACGGAGAGGTTGCTGTGTTTCTCCTCGCTAACCGCCTCGAAGGTACCTCTGACCTCGGCGAACCCTCCCCAGACGGACGGTAGCAGCTCGGACCGCTCTGCCGGCCCGCTGGCCTCGCTAGTGCGCCGGAACTCACTGACTTCCGGCCGCGAGGTGCGCCGCGCGCACCGCCACCAGTCGGCGGCCGAGGCACGCGCCATGGGCCCGCCGCCGCCGCCGCCGCCGCCCCGGCTGGCCGACCCCAAGGAAACGGACGGTGAGATTTGAGACATGACGCTCCATGGCATTAGGAGTGGAATGAGCTGGTGTTTTGAAGAATAATCACATGCAATCGATTACGAAGGTTCGAAATAAGCTTGATTCAAACTGCAAGTGAAATGAGATATTGTCTTTTTTATTTGCTAATCGCGATCGTCGATGACGTGGAGCAGGTATCGTCCCGTGTAACAAATGGTCTGTTCTCACGTTGTCTGTCGTTGACCCGGTGGTGTCTGTGTATTTTTATCGCCCACCTGACGGATTCCCGCCCCGTGTTCTACAGTGGCGCTGTACGAGGGGCTGAAGCGGGCTCAGATGTGTCGACTGGACGACCAGCGCGGCACAGAGATCAACTTCGAGCTGCCGGATTTCCTGCGGAAACGCGAAGCAGTTCAGGTGAGGAAGAGAGCGAAATAGGATGGCTATTAGTGAGTTAGCCGCGAGAGTTTTGCGCTGTCGAGTGATTATACCGTACTGTGAGCTCAGGTGTAAGCATTCGACTCTCATTTCTTTCGACATGTGGGGCAATTGGGGCCTTTGGGCTGGTTGATGTTGATGCAGTAAGTTTTTTTCTACGAGTGCTGTTAATCTCAATTAACCCGCGCCCGGCTGGGGGTCCTGGATTTCCACGCCCGGCTGGGGGGGGGGGTGTTTGAGCACCCCCCCCCCTTCTAACTCGGCTCCTGGGCCACGTAGCGATGCGCGGAAGGCGGCGTTCGAAAGAGCGTCAAAAATAATGAGGAAATCACTTCGGTCAATTTTTTGGTCAGGTCAAAGGTCAGGTCACCAGAGGTCATTGAAGGCAAAATTTCGCCGATTTCCAGGTCGAATGTCGAAAATTTCCAAGAAGCCAACACATAACTCGGGAACCAATAGAGCTACAGCGCCGCGGAAAAGCGCATTCGATAGCCCTATTAACGCCCTTTCTGAGTAATTCTCTCAGATTTGACCTAACGCCAACGGTTTTGCCTGCAGGGGGCAAAAACTGCAAAAAAAAAACGATTTTTTCGGAAACAGTTTTTGTGCAATAACTTTTGACCCAAGCCTTGTACGAGCTTACTTTTACCGGTATCGTGTTCCTCTCGTCAAGACGCATCGAATGAACTATAACTTGACCTTGAAAGTTCAACTTGAAAATTTGACCTCAGGTCAAGGTCATGACCTGACCGGAAAGGGTCATGTTGCATATCAGTCGATCCGTATCGTCGAGCTGAACACATCTAAGGCGTTTTCATCGCTCTAGCATGCCTCTATCAAAAGTTATTTGCGAAAAACTGTTAGATACCATTCGTGACCTAAGATGACCTCAGGGCATAAACAGGGGTCACGGACACCATTTTCATGTTCAGTGTGTCTAAACCACTTGTAATTCAGTGTTTGGGAGTGTTTATAATGTCTTTCGTCCAAAAGAGGCGCATTTCAATTTTCTCCCATTGACTTATAATGGGGAGGTCGCAAAATTGACCTGACCTTAGGTCATCGATATCAAAATTCTGAGATAAACATTTTGTACATGCTATTGCTCTTAGCAATCGCTGAAAGTTTCAAAGCGATCGGTCACTCGGTGTAGCTATGACAGACATTAAAACTTTTTATGAGGTGAGGTCACTTCAAGTGACCTGGTGACTTGACCTTGAATGACCTTGGTCTGAAATTTTCACAACATGTGTAGAATTGATGTATGATAAGGTGTACTAAAAACGGCGGCGCGGAGCGCCGCCGTTTTTGAGATATTCGCGAAAAACCACAAGGGGGGGTGTTCAAACACCCCCCCCCCAGCAGGGCGCGGGTTAAGCTCTTGTGTTTCAAAGAATGCAGTGGGGACGATAAAGCTCGTGTCGCTGAATCAGGCTTGCCCGTCGCCTCTGTTGGCGAGTTTCTTGTAAGGGATCTTAAAGCCACTGCCTGTCGTGAGTCGTCTGACGGTCTGTCGCCCCGTTCGCCGACAGAACAAGGAGAACTACCGTCCGGAGCGGCTGAGCGCTCCGGTGCTGTCGCGCCGGCCGGGCTCTGGCGCCGCCGACGCCCGGCTCTCGATGGTGCCGGGCGGCTGGCGCAGCTCGCGGCAGCTGGGCGGCATCCTGCCCACCGACCAGCAGGCAGAAGACTACTTCCAGGGCGACTTTGACGCGTCGGGCCGGCTCAGTCTCGGTCTGGGCGACAGCGGCCAGCTGGGCTGTCCGCCGATGCCGCGCCTGACGCCGCGCCGACCGGAGCCGGCCTCGCCGCCGCCGCCCACGCCGCCCGACCCGATGGCCACGTCGCTGCACCTGGACGAGGCCGACTTCTCGCCGCCGACGCCGCTGACGGAGAGTTCGGCGTCAGCCCGGCCCCGTCTGGCGGCCGCTGCTGCTGCGGCCGCCGCGGGCACGCCGCCGCCGCCCCTGCCGCCCAAACCGAAGGTGCTGCTGCGCGGCCCGCCGCCGCGGCCGCCGGCGCGGGCAGCCCCCACCGAGGAGCTGGCCTCTGGTCGGTCTCGGAAGGCCATCTACCTGGACAAGGCCGAGAGGCTCAATATCAGCTTCGTATAGCGTCGCCGGCCGGCCGGTTCGTCTTCAGTGTCCTGTCAGTGTACCCAGTGCCAATGCGTAGTGGTGCGAGTGTGTATGTCTGTGGGGGCAGAGCGGCAGAGCGCGGCCGTTGCGTCGGTCGGGGCTCCGTTATAGCGAGCTCTCTCTCTCCCTCTCCCCGACCAGTGTAACCCGCCGCCTGTGCCGGCCCGGTATACGTAATACTGCTCGCCCCGACAGGTACCCTGTGCGGGTGCCATCTGCATCGTCTGTGAACCTGATACGAGCAATTTAGAGTGCGAGTGTTTTGAGCGATTTGCCATGAATATCAGACGGGGTCATGTTTGTCCTAATTTGTATAGAATGTTTGCTTGTGTGAGGTGATATGTGTAATGCATCTTTGGATCGGATGCTGGGCAGTGGCAACATAGAAAGTAGAGACACTTTGGGCTGAATAACTGGTCCCACTATTCCTTGCGTCAATATAAGTGTTTAATATGAACTGAACATTGACAGAGCAACATAACGTAAGTATTTTAACTAAGTGCTCAATTGTCTTGTTTTGTCATATTTGTGTGGATCCAATATATTATTCGCAATCACCAACTTTGTGTTCATTCGATGTTTCGGGGAGTAGATACCAAAGATGTCGTAGCTTTCGTGAACGGCGACTGGACGCCCCCTTTCAGTACGAAGCCGTCCCAGTGTCGAAAAGAGCAAGGAAGACCGGCTCCGTGATAGGATAGGCGAAAATATGAAAGTATTCTCTGCATTCAGCGACAGTTGATTGCTCGGAATTATCTGTTTATATTGTATAGAGAACCATACGCAGCGAGACGGCATCCACGTCGATCATAAATGTCTTTTTAGACGGACAGAGTCTCAATGGGCTGGGAAGCGGGAACCTGGGTAGGTAGTGGGTGAGCCCTTATAGGTATCTTGGGTGAGCACCGAGGAATATACCTTAGGAGGACATTTCTGAGGAGGATAAATCTGACCATATACCTAGGAATTGACTAAAACGTGAAACGTATCATACGTATTTGGGCATCATTCCCCGAACCGAATGGTCTTGGTTCCATAACTCCCGACGGAATCCCAAATCGGCTCGGCCGCAGGCATACTAACGCGCTGATGTTTATGGCTGTTCTTTGTTCTGATAGCCTCAGGTTTCACATGTTAAAACGATTTTATGTGAGCGTGGAACAGTTGCAAGCATTCGATTTTCACCGAAATACCAACGAAATAAATCGCCAAATGCAGTGAAATTTCAGGGGGAGACTTGCCAATTATTTTCTGCTATGAAGGATTTGGAAGCATTATAGGCAAATATGGCCACAAAAAATCCTTCATAGTATTTGGCGCACTTCTGACAAATATTTGTTTTCACGTTTTTGGTGGGCAGTCTTATCGAGTTCCCCGGCGCACCACGTGGCGGAGAGGACGGGTTTCAGTCACGACTATTTAAAGATTTAAGATTTAAGACGTAGACCGATATTTATTGCTACAAAGGTTTTTAAGAGTACTCCGAGAGTGTTTGGAGCTTTAATTTCGTTGGAAGCGGTCAGAGTTCAAATAAGGTTGACGTGTAGCTACAAGAGCGAAAGGTGGGTTTGCATGTTAATGTAGGGCAAATCTAGAAGATGGGGCCAAAACGGGCCTTCAAAAGGGTGAGAGGGGAAGGCTTCTCTGAAAGTTTCTGGGACGATGGTGAGGATACTGGGGTGTATCTTACCATAAAACTTCTGTCTGGTAAACCTGTCAAAGAAAAAGGCTGGCCCTGGGTCCAGCAGGCAGTAAGGGGGATACTGGGTGGAAGGAACAAAGTGGAGAAGGCCAGTTTCATGAATGATGGAAGGCTTCTGGTCAAAACCCAGGATCAGTCCCAGGCCGAAAAGCTCATCAATGCCAGGCTTTTTGGGGGTGAGGAATGTGAGATCCAGAGAGATCAAAAACTGAACCAAAGCCGAGGAACTATCCATGCTTTTGACCTTCTAGACCTGTCCGACGATGACATCCTGGGATGGTTGGCAGAGTTCGGGGTGGTAGCTGCCAAGCGATTTATGAGAAAAACAGGTAACCATCTAGAAAAGACACCAACGATTCTTCTGACTTTCAACAAACCATCTTGCCCTACAAAGCTCCAGTTTGACTACGTGGAGTACAAAGTCAAAAAGCATGTGCCCAATCCTCTCATCTGCCACAACTGTGGAAAGTATGGGCACACAAAGGAGAGATGCCGGTCGACGGGAGTGTGCCTAACATGCGGGGAAAACAAACATGATGGACCATGTGCCAAAAAGTGCATAAACTGCGACCAAGCTGACCATGACTGCCTTTCGAGACAGTGTCCCATTTGGAAAAGAGAAAAAGAGATCTGCGAGTTGAAGGTTGACAGGGACGTGTCCTACCCACATGCTCGTAGACTCTATGAAAAAGAACACCAGGTCCCAACCACACGCCTTTATGCAACTGCCGCGAGGGTTCAAGCTGAGGCTCCCCGAAATGACTCCTCAAAAACCCGAATGGACCACATGGAGGAGAAAATGGACAAAATACTGACACTACTCGAACAGTTCCTGCAGCAGAACACAAGTGTCCAGAAAGCTCAACTGGGGGTGCCCAAACACTATCAGCAAGGAGTGAGAGTTCAGGTCTCAGGAGATGGAGTTGATACGGACACCCCACAACAGACCCAGACACAGCAGAGTCAGCACAGCGCAGACACAGATGGAGAGAGAGACACCATGGACCTGCACGGCACCCCATCAGAAAGCACACAGCTGTCCACTCTCTCTGACTCAGAGCAGAATATGTATGACCTGGCATGTGCTGAGCAGGAGTCAGCAACACACGACAGCCACTCCCAGGGAGTAGAACAAAGTCAGGACATGATACATGTCTCACCCTCAGAGATGAAAGTCCCCACTCAGAGCCCCCATGGCCTCGGAGGAAGCCCCATTGGGACCAGAGGTGGAAGCATGACAAAGCCTGGTGGCGCCGCTCCATTGAACCCCCTAGCCTCCCCCCACGGAGCCCACATGGATTATCAGCACACCCAACCACCGAAAGGAAAAAAGGTGACAAACCAGGCTGGGGTGGCATCCCGCCCTCCCACCTAATCTCCCAACTTCTCACGGTTTTGTAGAAGGTAGTTTTATTTCTTTCAAGTCCAGCAGAGTCTAAGTCTAGTGTAAGACTAGATCATATTTTTGTTTTTCTTTCCTGGAAGAGTACTCTAATAGTCTGAGAAGACATTCAGTAGTCATTGTTTAGTTTCAGAAGATGTTCTTTATTTCGTTTTTCTTTTTGGATCAGTTTTGTCGTCCCATGAAAAGGACGGCTCTTCATCCCAGGATGACGAAGGGCTTGTGTGCGTACATTAATTCCACACTCCTTGTTGTACTGTTCGGCATATGCTCACTCAGTTTAAATGATCTCGCATTGAATCTAATGGAAAAGCTTGCCAAAGTTCAGGAGAGCTTCCTGAATTCCAACCTGACCAGTCCCTGGATATCCTACAGTGGAATTGTAGAGGACTGATAGGAAAATGGGCAGAAGCCAAACAGATGCTGACAGAGGGTTCTTATCATGCAATTTGCCTCCAGGAAACACATTTCATTGTAAATGACAAATACTCTTTCAACCTCCCTCATTACACTTTATTCAATGCGTACTCAGACCAGGGGGGCAGGAGAGGAGGTGTATCCATCTACGTTTCGAATAGATTGCCACATCACCGACTGCCACTGCAAACAACACTACAGGCGCTCGCTTGTGCTATCCGGACCCAAAATAGACGAATCACATTGTGTTCATTGTATTTGCCACCCACAGAACAATTTTCATGTACTGATCTGGCACAGCTGATTGCACAGCTTCCTAAACCGTTCATTCTGTGCACAGACGCGAATAGCAAGCATGTGATGTGGGGTTCACAGTGTTGTGACCAAAGAGGAATGATGTGGATGACAGTTATTAATCAATATGACCTACTTGTACTTAATGATGGTCAACCTACCAGGTTTGATGAGTCTACAGGTACCGAATCACACATCGATCTGACTCTAGCCTCCAGTGACATAGGACATCTGCTCGTATGGGACACAGACAAGGATCTGCATTCCAGTGACCACTATCCCATACGGATCCAGTTTAGACCTGCGGTACCTGTTCCAGACCTACCATTCGTCTTTTCTGGGTGGAGTACCAGGAGAGCGGACTGGCCGGCCTTTCGATCTGCATGCACTTTTCGTTTCAAAGACGACATGGGAGTGAATAATTGTGCAGCTCTAACTGAAGAGATTATCAATGTGGCCAAACAATTCATTCCTATGAGAAATGCTAACACCAAATACCAGTGCCCTTGGTGGTCACATAAATGTCGGGAGGCAATACAAAATCGCCGACGGGCACAAAATAGGATGCGTCGCGATCCTCACTCTCAGTTCTTGCGGGTAGAATATCGCAGAATCAAAGCACAGACCCGACGGATCCTCAGAGAGGCTCAACAAGCTTCTTGGAGAGAACTTCTATCTCAGTTCAATCATAGAACACCTATGAATCGTCTGTGGGATATTATACGTAAGTTTTCAACTAAGCACAGAGTAGCAAAACCTTTCCCAGTCCTACTCCACAACGGCATTACTGTCGACGATCCTTACGCTGTGGCGAACACCTTTGGGAAATACTTTGAGGAACTCAGCTCTCAATCTAACTATTCTAGGCTCTTTCTGGACAAAGAGCAAGAGATGATGGCGCGGCTCCCAGACTTTGGAAGCGATAATCGAGACCTCTACAACAGACCAATTACTATTGAAGAGCTAAGTGAGGCAATAAAGAGCTCGGGTTCCTCATCTGTAGGCCCAGATAAAGTGCATTATGACTTTGTAAGACACATGGATGCTACCCAACTTCACGAGCTACTAAAGGTATTCAATCACATATGGCTGAAAGACACATTCCCGGAGTCGTGGTGCCACTCGTACATTGTGCCAATTGTTAAACCAGGTAAAGACCCTACATTGGTTACATCGTACCGACCGATCCAACTGACATCGTGTCTGTGTAAACTAATGGAGAGGGTTATTGGAAAACGACTGAGTTGGTGTATTGAAAAATATGAGCTGTTGAACAAACATCAGTGCGCATTCCGTACTGGGCGGTCTACTGTAGATCATTTGGTTCGATTGGACTCCCATGTTAGAGACGGCTTTCTTCACCATTCGAGCACCTTGGCGGTATTCCTCGACATTAAGTCTGCTTACAATCTGGTATCACCTACTCTTCTCCTACACCAAATGCACCGCACCGGCTTCCGGGGCCACATGATGCACTTTATTCGTGGCTTTCTGAGCAACAGAACTTTTCAGGTGAGGTGTGGTGTCTTGTCTGATGTATTTACTCAGGAGCATGGCATAGTGCAAGGTGGGGTCATCTCGCCGATACTTTTCAACCTGGCAATTGATTCCTTGATGGATGACATTCCTCAGGGTATATATTATGCTGTATACGCCGACGACGTGACCATCTGGACGCAGGGTAGACGTATCCCAACATTGTTCCACAAAATACAGAGAGCACTGGATCGGATTGGAAACTGGGCTTCCACACACGGATTCACATTTTCACCTACCAAGTCGAAAGCTATATTGTTTCGACGTAGCCTTAAACGTCTTAACCCGGAAGTTCTTCCTGACCTACACATTGGAGGCGATGCTATCTCCCTGGTCGATCAGGTGAAATACTTGGGAGTTATCCTGGACTCAAAGCTGAACTTGCATGCCCACGTGGAATATACGAAAGGCAGAGCTCAGCAGCGTATTTCCGTGTTGAAATGTGTTGCCGGAAAAAGTTACGGTGCGGACCGCATAGTCCTACTGCGCATGTACAAGGCTATTATACGACCTATATTGGAGTATGCATCATGTGTTATTGACGGACCTGGAAACAAAAGAATAGAGTCATTAGAAACCATACAAAATGCATGTTTGAGAATCGCATCAGGGGCCATCCGAACGTCTCCAGTACGAGCCTTGCAGGTGGATACGAACGTGCACCCACTTTCTGTCAGAAGGAAAGAACTTCTGGTCAGGTATTTCCTGAAAGTACAGGGTGACCAGAAGCACCCCTGCTACGACCTAATGGACCTGCAAGACATTACTGACCCATACCATGGCTTGTCGGAAAGTTATATGCACAGAATATCAGGATTCCCAATACTTTATAGAGTTAGGAAAGTGCTGAATGAATTGCGTTTCAGACCCCCTCCGGTGACTAAACCCACGAAGTCGACAGCCCCATGGACAAGACATCCGGTCAAAACGCACATGCTTTTGACCCAAGACAAGCGACAAATGACTTTGACTGACATCCAGATGGCCTTCAACGACCTGGTGGAGGACCACCCGGGTTATCGCATCCTATTTACTGATGGGTCCAAAATAGGAGATTCCGCTACCTGTGCTTTCACGATAAATAATGCCTTTTTCTCGTTTAAGCTCCAGGACGGTTTGTCCATATTTACTGCGGAATTGGTGGCTATAAGAGAAGCGATCGGGTATGTTCGCGCAAAAAGCATTCCAAAAGCCCTTATTTGTACGGACTCTTTGTCCGCTATCAGGGCCTTGAAAAATAAAAATGACGATCATCCGATTCTGGAAGCTATTCTAGAACTAAACCACACCAATGTATGTGCTGGCTTAGAATGTACCCTAGTCTGGATACCAGGTCACAGCGGTATTGGTGGCAATGTGAAGGCCGATTACTGGGCCAAAAAGGCACATGATAAACCAAACGTGACAAGGGTCGCGGTAGGACCGCGGGAATACATACCTATGGTGAAAGACCGCGTAAGGGAACTCTTTTCGAGGCTGTGGCAAGATTACCGCAACACCCAATTGAAGGTCATCAAACCGAACATTGGTTTCTGGTCATCATGTGTACGTGAAAACCGCAAGGAAGAGGTTGTACTTTGCCGGCTCAGGATAGGGCATACTGTACTTACTCACTCACACATCATTGACCATGATCCAGCGCCTGTGTGTGGGGTGTGTCGTTGCCAACAAGACGTGGGACACATTCTCCTTGATTGTCGACAATATCGTGTGGAGAGACTGCGTCTGATCTCAGCCTGTAGGACCAGAGGCATCCGCCCTACAGTGGAGAACTTGCTTGGAAATGATTGTGAAGTACTTGATGCTCTGTTCTTGTATCTTCGACAGTGTAACCTTCTAGATAAGCTGTAACCATACCCGTCTGTGGATCTCCAATGTAGCACTTCTGATTACAGTGTGCACTCAAAAATACTAGTTTTAGGAAATCGAAAGTGATCATTGTCTGTCATTATCTTTCCGGACCGGATAGTGATCGATCGCAAAGTTGTTTGGTCGTCGTCTGTCTGTGTGTTTGTGTATTCATAGTCCTGTCAAAACTGTCTTGTTCACATCTGCGTACTTATGTCTTTAAGCGCTCAATTCCTCTGTGAGACACGGTGCTCTTGCGCACCTGTCTCTAGTCCTTACTACATCTCAACCTTATTATTTACTTACTTATTTTTTGTTGGTTTCTGTTAAGTTGTAACTAGAAATACTGTAGCGTTTGTTTTTCCCATTTTTTGTTTAGCCTTAGAGGCCGCTTATTCCCGCACTTAGTAAGTAGCTCGAATGTAGACGCTAGCATTTCGTAGTTTACCCTCCCGTTGCAAATCCCACCTCGCAATATCTCTATCCTGTTTACTCTATACTATTACGTGATATACCTTGCTTAGTACCGCTTAGTACCCCTCTTTCACGGAAAAGGGAAGTGGCAAAGTTAAATGCTATCAACATCTACAAAAAACGGAAGAGACTAAAGTTTAACGCTACCAACAAGACCGAGGTGCCTAAAGTTTAACGCTACCAACAAGACCGAGTTACAAGACCAAGAACAAGACGATCAGTGAAGTTGGACGCCTGGGTCTCGAGGCTGCGCGTCCTAACCCAGCAAGCAAGCAAGCAAGTGGGCAGTCTTATATCTTTTTTTAATTAAATATGAAATTTAAAAACAAATTGATTAAAGCCTTAAGTGTTCTTCTTGTTTGTACAGATGTAATAAGTAATCTTGACTAGCCAAGTGGCTTTGTTGCGAACAGACCGTGCCAGTGCCTCTGTACTGAACCCTTGACTAAACCCAGTCCAAATCCTTACACATTTTATGATAATTGAATTTCATGATCCATTTTCATGGATGCCATTTTTTCAATTCATTATTGGTATTAGTGTAGCTTTCATTGCAGTGTTTCAACCTTAATACCAAAAGTGCATTTTTCTAAACTTGAACTGGTAAAAGCTATAGGTAGGTCACACTGTGACCGTCACAGGCGCCTCGCGCCAGGCGGGTTTTTGTTTTTGTGTTTTGTTTGTGTGTGTGTGTGTGTGTGTGTGTGTGTGTGTGTGTGTGTGTGTGTGTGTGTGTGTGTGTGTGTGTGTGTGTGTTTAGTGTTTTTATATACCTTGCTATAGGTCTTGTTTGGTGCAGGCTGGTGGTGGCTATTTCCCCTAACCCTGCGTTCGGCATCTGGAAAATGAGGGATAATTTTCGGGATCACTGTTGATTATTTGGTATTTCAGGGACAACTGTTGCAATTAGTCACATTTTTAGATTGCTTTTCCTTCTTAAAGTGAAAGGCCTCTTTCACTTGTTATAACTGTTTTCACGTCACAGCGTCACAACTGTGCACAGTGCCAGCTAAAACGCAGTTCACACATGACCGTCAGTCTGTCGGTGTCGGGCCCGTCACCGTCGACCTGACGGCAGGGTTACCAACGGGATTTTTTCTAAATCCCAAGATCGCCGCGCGAATTTCCCAAAATCGAGCTCCATATCCCAAGGTCGACAGGATCAAAGCCCAATGTGCATCCCAAGGTCTATAGAAACCAAATATAGAGCAAACAAAGTGTATTTGACGCATTTTCAAATCTTTGGTTGACTAAATAAATCAATATCGTTAACATATCTTGCATTCGGCACAGTTACACACGCAGGCATAGGTACAGAGACACAGCCGCAGTCGCTCCCTTGCACGTTCCCTCACAGACGACACTGAGTTCTGACTTCTGACTTTCTGAGCCTGCACCCTCCACTCTCCAGAAAGACGAGCCGAACTGGAGACGGGTCGAGGTCGTCGCCGCCGGCCGCCGGCCGCAATATGATACGAGTTGAAGCATGATCCGTCGCAGTGGCGGATCCAAGGGGGGGGGGGGCAAAATGGGCATTTGCCCCCCCCCCAAACGGCATAATTTTAACATTACGCCTATGGACGATGCATGGAAAGAATCGATAAATTTTATGGTTTGCCCCCCCCCCCCAAACTCTGAGCTGGATCCGCCTCCGATCCGTCGGGCGTCGCAATTCGCAAACAGGCGGCCAGGCCGGGTGTTAATCGACGCGGAAGCCACTGGGTATTTCGCTAACTGCCTCACTTGAGAGCTGAGACGGGAGAAACCAAGTGAAGACGCGTCAAATAAGGATAACTTATTCGTGCTTCGTTGGTTGCTTGGTAAGGTACAGTGAAACCAAACGAAAGAACGCTCGGTTGTGTTCGGCCAAAAAGGACGGTTTACAAAAAAAAACAATTAAGTTGTGTTAGATGTGTTCCTGATTCTTTTGTTTGGTCTTTATTCATACTTTTCCTTGTTCCAATGATTACAAAAATGTGCTAAAATTAGCGGGAGTCGTAAGCTCGGGACAAATCCCAAGGTTTGCTGTTGAATCCCAAGGTCCCAAGGTCGGGTTCAATATCCCAAGATCTTGGGACAAATCCCAAGCTTTGGTAACCCTGCCTGACGGCCTGCAGCCCGTCAAACGAAAGTTGAGATTTGGTAGCTCCCGTTGGCTGCCATATGTTGTGACAGAAATGGCGCACCATTTTCGAGATTGACGCAGATGGGGGAAGGGGATGGGGGGATGGTAGAGGCCGAGAGGTTAAAAATATTCTTTGAATTACAGAAATAAAATTACATTTTTATGTCAAATAATGCTGCAATTTAATTTAAATGAAAGACACATCGGTTCGCTGATTTAAATCAGGGATCGAATCTCAAGATATCGTGCCGTAATAAACACTTTCATCTCAACAAATGGATGGAAAATGGTACAAATGATCTTAAAAATGCATATAAGCTTCATGCTGCATGAGAAGGTTCCTTTTCCTCTTCCTCCAACACGCAGACATTCAAACCGACGGGCCCGTCACCGTCAAAAGTTGAACATTGCTGAACTTTCCAAAGCGACGGCCGTCAGGTCCGGCGCCGGCGCAGTCAGCTGTTGCCGGCCGTCAAACGCTGCCGGTTCACACATGCCCGTCGACCTGACGGCCGTCACTCCGTCGGTTTCGGCCGTTTTGACGGTGTCGGGCCCGTCACCGGCAGACCTTACGGGCAAGTGTGAACTGCGTTTAAAGCACCAAATGATCCTGGTGATCCTGGAAAATTATCCCTGATTATCTGGATTCCGAATACATGCTGAGATTTCCAGTCAATCGGTTGGACTGATCTGATGCAACCCAGGCTGATGTCACTTGATGTGGCTTTGTGTTTTGTTACTGTACCCACAGCATATGCAAATAAAATAGCTGCCTATACCACATCCTGGATGGCCAGTATTGTTTCCACTTTCCACACAGGGGGGGGGGGGGGGGCAAGGCAGCTTATCCCCTAACATCCAAGCACATCCTCTGCAATCAGTACAGATTTAATGAGGTTTTAGGAATGGAAAATCTGGAACAGCTCTCTGAAATGGGCAGGAAATAGGAATAAGGATAATAATTTAAAACAGTTGTTACCAGCCCAGATGGCTGGTCTAGAACTGGTTGGGTGCTATTGCTTTTGCTGGATATCTGACCTTTTATCTTTGAGAATTGGTGGTCATTTAAGCTGTGCTTGTCTGTGGATGTATGACATGAGGTGCAGCTGATACAGAAGCTGCTTTGTCAAAACCTTGAGCCACCACTTCACAGCCCTTATTTTGTTTTTTAGTGGAGCCCTAGATGGAGTCAGATTAAATGTAATGACAGGCTTTTGGCTTGACATGTTTTGTTTGAGTGTTGGAGATGGAATGTTTGGGGTTTCTGGGCCCGCATGGTTCCCAGGGTTATGTAAGGGATGACTAACATAAGGTGTTTGTGTCGTGATACTAGCTTTTCAAGGTATGCCCAATGCCCATAGTGCCCAGAGTCCCAAAATGAAGAATCATAGTCGTTAGTCGTAGTCAGTGTCGACCTCAGCAGAACGTCAAAGTGTATTGAACTGATTTCCTGTTCTGCCTTTTTTGTCGCTTTAGCCTCCAAGAGTTAGCACAATGAGTTTAGGCTGTCTGATTTTATCATTGTTTTTACTCATCCGTGCCAAAAATGATCTTTTCCTATTGATTTGATTTGTTTCAGATATTAAAAGGATGACAATGGCTGCTGAGTTATTGCCACAGACAGTGGATTCCATCAAACCATTGGAGATTCTGTGTGCTGAGAAGCCAGCGTTTGTGTGTGCTCCAATGGTTCGCTATTCCAAGTAAGATCAAAGGACTTATGTCGTGTGTACTTGCCAGTATCACATTTACCTAGGGCAAGCACACTTCAAAACATCCCCATGGATTGTTACTTGTTAATTTTTTCAGTGCAGTGTATTGTTCGAGCATACATTTTTTTTAAAAATATAGACAATATTTTAGTTTTTGTTTGGAAACGTGGCTGTATTTTTCCGCCATTTTGATGGAATGTATCATTTAACCACTGTAGCATGCTGAACTGACCAGTGACCACTGTAACATTTAACCACTGTAACATGCTAGTAAATGTATTTTTTGTCTCTATTTTTGTTCTGACTCGTATCCTATGCGCTACTTTGTGTTACAGGCTCGCATTCCGCAATCTTGTCAGGATTTACGGCTGTGATATTGCATTTTCACCGATGATCATGTCAGATTCATTCGTTAAATCTCAAAAAGCAAGAGACAGCGAATTTACGACGAACGCAGGTAAGACTGCTGAAGCCTGAAGGCACGGGCTTGCTAAAATGGTGATAGCTCATGCATTTTTATGAGATCTTAACACCATTGGAGTTGGACAATCTTTTACATCGAACTTCTTCATTTACAGTTATGGGATTTTTTTCACATCTGACCGATCTTTCAGGGAGAAATGCGTTTTCTGTGACTTGCGAGGCACAACGGTTGAGCCTGAGAAGCCCCTCATTTCCCTCGTTCAGACTGTTTTCCTTCGGAAATCTTCGCTGATTGTGAGCCATTACCTCTATAATGTTGGCAATTTACCTAATCATGCATTTTTTAAATTACACTGGAGGCGAAACTGAAAATAACACTTGAAGATAAGTAACGTGTCATTGTCTCAGCCTTCTGTCCCATTCAATCTCTCGATTTTGTTAGATGGGTGATGAAGTGATGAGTGATATCTATCAATTGGCCAACAGGCCATTTGATGGGATGATCCAGTCTCAGACTGACGTATCTTTTATAGGTTTAGATGAAATATTTTAGCTTTACCTTATGTTGTTTTCAAAGCGGAGGTGTTGGTCCCTAACGAATGGAGCTATTCTGTACCATGTGTGTGTACAAAATAGCATCGGTCGACCCTCCAGTACTGTTAGACCCTGGCGCGTTAGTGCCCTGAACTGACCAGTGACCAGTGAGTGCATGAGCCCAGAATCCTCGTTCAGGACTCACGATCGATCTCACGATTTCTCAGACTGCCCTCTGAGCACTGCTCGTGCCGATCTCTGCCCGCCCGTTTCCCTTTCAACTCTTGCAGCGTAACGTCGTATATCTCCCTCTGTGTTTGACAGCCGACAAGCCGCTGATTGTACAATTCGCTGCCAACAACGCTGCCGACTTCGCCTGCGCTGCTGAACTAGTGGCCAAGTAAGATAACTCCAGGATCGCCTCAGCCTAGAGAATATTGACCTCAGTGAGCGGATCGATATGCCCGTTAGGCGTAATAGCACCAGGCCTTTACATTTGTCAGCCGTCTTGGTACCATTAACGTTATTGTCGCCAGTCGCAGGCCATGCAAGTTCGTATATTACTGCTACAGAACCTGAAATCAACGGACTTTTATTACCAGTATAACGCCTTTTGGGGCGACTAACGGAGCGAGCGAGAGGGTGAGCCTTGCACGTGCGAAATTTCGAGGGGGTACCTCCAACTGACTTGTGCACGGCACCCTACTAACCGGTCTCTAGCGATGTGCCAAATTTGAGCACAATCGGCCCAGCCGTTCTCGAGATCTGGAAGCGGCACCCTGCACGTGCGCACGTGCAAAATGGGTCCCAACTGACTTGTGCACGGCACCCTACTAACTGGTCCCTAATCGTGTACCAAATTTGAGCGCCATCGGTCCAGCCGTTCTCGAGATCTGGAAACGACCCCTGCACGTGCGCACGTGCAGCAGCACCCCAACTCTGGCACATGGATATGCAGTGCCTAGTGGGTGCCTATCTACATGCCAACTTTCAGCGCAATCGGCCAAGTAGTTACCGAGATATTGCAACAATTACAAAACTGACACCTCTTCGTTTTGCACGTGGCACGTGCATAAGGGGTCACCCACATGCATCGGGAATAGTCCAATACTTGGTAGAAGGAATGAAGCTACCCTACAAAATTTACCGCATGTAAATCGGTCAAGTGGTTGCTGAGATATAAGCCTCGCAAAAGCGTCCGCACGGCCGGCCGGCCGGCCGGCCGGCCGCTCATACTCAGAAATTTCCGTTAATCTAAGGAAAGACTCCGCTCGCTTCGCTCGCTCCGTAATTAGTTTTGTTCTTACGGGTATGCTGTTAAATAGAGTACCTCATTACTTCAAAAGTAATGGGCAGTAATGTGGATAGTAGAAGCACATAGTCCTGAGAAGCACGTCTGTTGACCGAGTACTATTCGCCGGTTGGCCGACCTTCAGAGTTCAGCCCGGCCCTCACTTTCTGACTGTCCGCAGGTGGTGTCAAGGCGTGGACCTCAACTGCGGCTGTCCCCAGCGCTGGGCGCAGCAGGAGGGCATCGGCGCCTGCCTCATCAACAAGCCGCAGCTGGTGTTTGACGTCGTCAGACAGACCCGGAACCGCATCGCCGACACCGACTTCACCATCTCGGTCAAGATACGCGTCCACAAGGATATCAGGTGCGCTCAGCTCAGCGTCAATTTCTGTGACTTGTACTGTAACTTGTAGCATTGTCCTCAGTGTCCTCACAAGATGCTATGTGGTCTTTATACGCTACCCATCACTCGAGAAATGTATAGTAAAGTCTTCTTTAAATTCGGCTCGTCTTCCATTCTAGCGTTAGTTAGACACCGCTCGGCTGCCCTGCTTGGTCTCCGACCACACGCCGTCTTCCCGGCGCTCACCGCGTGCCTGCTCACCTGACCGTCATCCCGTGCTCCTGGCTCAGGGAGACGGTGGAGCTGTGTCGGCGCGCAGAGGCAGCCGGCGTGTCGTTCATCTCGGTGCACGGTCGGACCATCAGCCAGCGCCGCGAGCCGGTCGACCGGGAGGCCATCGCCGCGGTGGCCGCCGCCGTCCGGGTGCCTGTCATCGCCAACGGAGACGTGCGGACGCTGCAGGACGCGCTCAGCACGGCCGAGAGCACCGGCGCCAAAGGTGCGCTGGAGGGGAGAGGTGACAGCAAGCCGGGATTGGTAGTCATTAGGGCTGAGCAAGATTGGGTCAGCTGTGACAAGCTGCTTACTACTTACTACTTAACATGCTGCATGAAGCAGATTATCGTTTATTTCAAGATTGGTCATTGAACAATGGTCATAATTGAGTACTCGTGGGAAGTAAAAGCATTCTGCAAATTATTTATTGCACCGATACATTCATTCGATCGATTCTTTCACTAACGCTTTTAACTATTAATTCACTTGTTCATTCATTCATTCATTCATTCATTCATTCATTCATTCATCCATGCATTCATTCATTCATTCATGCATTCATTCATGCGTCGTTTTGTGAAGTTAATGGCACCAAGCAACTTTGCATTCATTCATTTCATTCATTCATGCACTCGTACAGTTCATTCATTTCATATCTCAGGCCTTGTTCGTCGACCCGTTCCCTGATGTTGCCCCTGCGCCTTACACCGTTCTTTGACAGTCCCCACCCTCACCGTTTCTTTGCTCCCGCAGGCGTGATGGCCGCCCAGGGTCTCCTGAACAACCCGGCGCTGTTCAGCGGGGCAGAGTTCACGCCGCTAAGCTGCGTGCGCGACTGGCTGCGACTAGCCACCGACACGGGCACGCCGTTCACCTGCACGCACCACCACCTCATCTACATGCTGGAGCGCCAGCTGCCGCGCAATCTGCGGCGCACCTTCAACGTCCTGCCCAGCCACGCAGCCGTGCTGGAGTTCCTGAGAGATCAGCTGGCGCTGGACGTATGACCAGGCGATAATGGGGAGTGGGGGGAGTTATACACGGGTGGGGTTTTCTACACGATTGATATTGCTGTTGACAAGACAAATTGGTATTATACTGTTTCTTAGTGTGTGATAATATATCGTTTTGTAACATTACGGTATCTCAGGATCGAAATATAGCTGTCATGCATCACTTTCATACAAAATAAAAAATGAATGCCAAAAGTGGGAAATAATTATTTTTCGTAGTTGTCTAAAGTGGGGAGCTAACATAATTTTGGCTGCTGATTCGAAAGCTCTTGGCACAATCTACAAACTGGCACGCAGGTCCGGATGTCTTATTATTCGGTCTTTTTCAATGATTCTGCTTGACCAGACACTTGCCGAAGCCTATTCATTAGGATAATGTCGATAGTTATTGTGTGATGAATTTGTCATAACTCAGTGAACGTTCTCTAGTTTTGAAGGGATCATCAAGTGATTGGAATCATATGATTGTAGCCAAAATGAGCTTCGAGCGACGCCTTGGTATTACAATCTGGTAGCAAGATAGGGTGGGGACAGGATATTTGAATTCTGCCATTGGGACACGATCAAATTGCTGCACAGCAAGTTGAGCAAGTTAAAAAGCTGAGCAAGTTGACTTATTCTCGGATTCAAGCAGTATTTGGACACACAAAGCCATAGCAACAGTTCGCAAACATAAATGAACAATGAACCCCGGGCTTCTCGTAATCAGCCAACCCATGAAGTCAGAGTTCCCTTGGGACTCATCCAACGTCATCATCGCCCTCTCATATGCCTAACTAGTGTGGTCTTGAACTTGAAATTAATTTGTGTTTCTGTCCTTGCCCTGATACACCAAGATGATACACAGCCGTCGGCAAGTCGTCAAACTCGAGTGTCGCAAAGCTCATGTATTCAGCGCTTAACAGTTGGCCATTTTCTCTGCTCGGTTTACAAAATTGAGACAAGTCCCGTAACTGGATGGGCGCCTGTCCGGCCTTGTCAACAATGCCCCACCCCAGTCAGACAGATCAGCGACACACCGGAGCAGCCGGGGAGGGCGGCCCGGCGGCGACTCGGGCCTGGAATCAACGGTCGGGCGGCGCCTCCCGCGGAACCAGAACTGGAACGGGCCCCCAAGTAATGCGTATTTGATCATGTATTGAAGGTGTAATTATCACAAACAACGGATATTTGGCAACTCAACAGTACCCTATGTACAGTGCGTGGAACAAGCCAGCCGGGTCGCCGGTCGAGCCGAGCCGGGCCGGCGTGTGCCTTCCTCCGGCCGGTCGACTGGCGACCCGTGCCGTGTTTAGTGATAAATGAGATACTCGGTAGTCCGCTGAAAGACTGCAATGGAAGGTGGCGCCTGCTGCAGAGAGGACTGGGACACGGACACAAGAGACTAACGAACCAAACGAACAATCAGAAAAAAACACGGTTGGGGCGACTAGTCGGTCAGTCCGAGTGGATCATCTCAATGGTCAGGGTCACGCTCTCAATCCCGGACAACGGTGCGCGTGCGCGGGCGCGAGCGAGCCACCAGCACCCCCGCGGCACGGCACTGGCATCCACGGCCCGGCAGGCGACTATAAGCA